CCTCGAACCCGTGAATCACTTCAAGACTTCAAGACTTCAAGACCTGACCTGACCTGACCTTGACTTCGATGGTGTATATATGTATTTTCCACGCTTCAGTTCTCGCTTTCTTCGGTACGTTTATCTGGAGGTGGGGTTTATTTGGTCTTTAAATAGAAAAGATTTGGAGCGCTCAATCACAGAATTAAGACACCAAAAATGAGATATTTTGGGTGGACTTTCTTATCAAAATTACTCCTAACCGAAGAGTTATAGATGTATTTATTTTAACGTAACCTGTAAAGCGTTTTAAATGTCAGATACCTTTCAACAACAAGTGTGGCTTACGTTGCTCATAAGTAGTTCTTTGTAGCCGATGGATGCGCTACACTGTGCTACTTGGGGTATCCATGTTCATTGCGCTTCATCTGTACACGCACATGCTGCAGCCAAGGTGATTTTTGATCGATTAAAAGATAACTCATAAGAATGTATGGTTTGGGCAATATTTATATTTTATGGGATTCTCCCCCGTGCGATATATAATTGTTCTGGTTCACACAGTATTTAGTTGAGCGCATGAAGTATGCATAGAGGTGTTTGTGAACGATAAGTACTTCTTAACTGAAGTGAGGCAGGCAAGGGATGCCCAGTTGTATATGTCGCCGGACATTGTAAAGCAAGATCAAAAGGTCACATTTAACTCGCAGTTGATTGTGAGTAGTAGTGTAAGATGATTGATGATGATTTGAACTGAACGAGGCACGATTCAAACGACTTGTCGATGAGCACTTGGTGAGACGGTCGCAGCGTGCAGACTACTGAGCGGGTTGCTGTCGGTACCGGCGGTGATGAGGCTCATACGGGGCGCAGCCGCTCTACTTTATACATATGAAGATGAAGATGAACTTACCTTCACGCACAATCCTCAGTTCTTCCGGTCATAGAGGACCCTCCATGCGATGGGTCCGGAGTTCTAAGCCCGAATGGGACGGTGTATATGCAATCCAGATGAGCTCCGATTAGAGCAAAAACTCGAGTCTAGTGCTTCCGAGTGTGTGGCTAACTGAAAGAACAGGAATATGCGTAAAGGCCTAATCTGACGGATGGTCAATTGACATGAACAATACAATTAAAGAGACAATATCTTAGCACAAAATGAACGATTTTTTAAAGTTGTAATAAAGTGCAATGACGTAAGTCGAATGGTCATCAGGTGACACTACCACCCAGCGCGTCTTCACTACCACCCGTGACCATCGTCCCGTCTCCGCCGTATCAAATTGCATTCACCAATTAAACTGTGGATCCTAGACCACATAAATCGGCA